CCTCCTTCAGAGTGCAGACGCAGGACAGGAAGGTCCTAGCCGAAGCGCTCGTGGAGCTGGAGACGGACAGCGCGGATCCAAGGGATCAGATCGTCAGGGACCTCACCCTTGCTGCGCAAGGGGAAGACCGTGGTCTAACGCGTGTAGTCGTCAACAACCAGCAGAAAGTAGCGCTCGCGGCCCTGTCCACTGACGTGGGCTGGGCCCCACACGTCCATGTGGAGAGTCTGCAGGGGAGCAATCGTCGGGGGAAACGAGGAGGAGTGAGGAGCAGCGCGCTGCCGCCCCTCGACGCAAGGAAGGCAGGGCGGGGCAGGCGAGGGTGGGAGGGGAGTCAGAGACCTGGGAAGACCAGAGACAAGGAGATGGGAGTGCATGCCACGAAGACATGGCAAGGAGGGGTGACCAAGGCAGTGGTGCCACAGGAGAGTCTGGTGGGACAGGAGGCGACACAAGCAAGGGGGTGCTACCGAACCTGACGCGAACACCTGGGCAGACGCAGCTACCTGAGGAGGCTAAGTTGCTAATGTGTACAGACTCGACCCAGGCCAACGAGTGAACGTGGCCAGGTGGCGGCCCGTCTGTGTACACGTGCAGATCGACACACGCTGACCCCTAGGAGTGGTGGTAGTGACCATCACATCCTGGAGGGCAGCGGTACTCACCAAGTTTGTAGAGAACAAGGGGAGGTGAAGGCTTGATAGTGAGCCTGGCGGAACCGCCGGACACGGGAGAACAGTGGAGGAAAGGGAAAGGACTGGGCCCCCGGAGGGGTCATCCAGCCTGACCAGTACAGGTGCAGAGAGAGGAGTGAGGGTGGTGGTGTCGCAAAAGAAACAGCGTGAGGCACCTCATTCAAGTGTAAAGGTGTGCAAGGCCTCAGCAGGCGCAGTACCAGGGAGAGAAGACTCACTAGCACCTAGAGCAGCAGCCTCTATACCTGGGTCAGGCGGCACACACAGGTAACAGTCGCCCTCAGCACTAGCAGACAAAGCATACATAGCAGCAAGGATAGCATCATAGTCTAGGTCAAAGATAGCAACTCCAGACCTAAGCAGCTCTGCCCACCGGGTGCGCTCGGCCTCGTCACCAACTCTGTGCGCCAAGCGTCGTCGAGGCGAGAGAAGCAGCGGTGCTGAGTGTGAGGCTTCCCGCATGTCTGACCAGCACGGTCACCCGTGCGAATGACATACGGGCAACTACCACTACCCCCAGACGCCCCACGCTGAGAAAACCACTCACGAAGCTGCTGGGGCGACGGGGTCTCGCTCCGACGCTGCTGCTGCTGCCTCTGGACACCGCCAGAATCTCCACGTTGAGTAGCTCCAGCCCGACCGCCACCACTCCTACTGCCGCCACTACCGCCACCCCCACCGCCGCCACCAAAGCCCCCACTCCCGCCACCACTCCCACTACTGCCACCACCTCCACTGCCTCCACCACCTCCACGGCTGCCCCCACCACCACCCCCGCTGCCACCGCCACCACCCCTGCCACCCTTGCCCTTGCTGCTGCGGCGCTTCCCACTAGCAAAAGCACCCCCGACATCCTCAGCACCAAGGACGTCAGCAGCAGCAGCAGAGGCATAGGAGGGGGCAAGGGGGGAGGGGGAACACCCCTCAAAGTAGGGTGTGCGAGGAGTGCCACGAGCGGCACCTACAGCGACTACACTAGTCTCAGCTGCAAGGAGGTGCTGCTCGAGTAGGGCTGTGGGGTCAAGTGCGAGAAAGTGGTCCTTGACAGCGCGAAGAGAGTCAGGGAGGCGGGTGACTATAAAGTAGAGAGTGATGTACATCGGGGGCGGGTTCCTGTCAAGGAACTCTGCTGGGTGGGCAGCGCGGAAGGGAGCGTCGCTAGTGCGAAGGTGGGAAACGAGGTCCTCCACTGTGGCAAAGGCGGACAACTCGGGAAACAGGTAGGGCAGTAGAAGACGGCATAGAGCGGCAGTGGCAGGAGAGGAGTAACGCACGACTACAGCGTCGTACAGTGCCTGTGCAGTCCTGTGCTGTCCAAAGAGAGCGCATTCGGCTAACGGCAAGTGGTTGGGAATGGCTAAGCGAGCAGCAGCGTCACGAGTAAGCCACTGTGAGCAAGTCGCACTGTCAGCTGTGGCGGGAGGGGCGGGAGGGGCGGGAGCGGCGCCAGACGTGTGGTCAAACAACAAAACGCTATCTATAGAGTCACTCAGTAGGTACAGCTGCAGATGGTCGAGCCATGTGTCGAACTGGATAGGGCGGCCCTCATGATCGAACGCGAGAACGCGGAGAGAAGCCATAGCGGCGCATCAATCAGGGCGGGCAGAAGCCGGGCAGCGCAAGGCACAGGGCAGGCAGCAGCAAGGGGCGGCAAGGGGGGTTGGAAGAGGCGATGCGCAGGCTGCAAGAGGGGTGGCTCGGGGGCCTAGGGGCGGCCGGCGGGCCTAGGGGCGGCGGGCGGGTCGCAAGGGGCGGCACGCGGGGCTGCGGGGGCGGCTCGCGGGCTGCAGGGGCGAGGGGCGGCGCGGGGGGGGGGCCTGGGGTCGACGGGTGGGCCGGGGCCTAGGGGCGACGGGCGGGCCGGGCTAGGGTCGACGGGCGGGCCGGGCCTAGGATCGACGGGCGGGCGCGCGGGGCAGCAGGGTCGCCGGGGGGGGGGAGGGGGGGGGGGGGGGGGGGGGCCTAGGGTCGACGGGGCGCGCCGGGGCCTAGGGTCGACGGGACGGGCCGGGGCCTAGGGTCGATGGGGCGGGCCGGGGCCTAGGGTCGACGGGGCGCGCGGGGCCTATGGTCGACGGGGGGGGGGGGGGGGGGGGGGGCCTAGGGTCGACGGGGCGCGCCGGGGCCTAGGGTCGACGGGGCGCGCGTGGCCTAGGGTCGACGGGGCGGGCCGGGGCCTAGGGTTGACGGGGCGCGTGGGGCCTAGGGTCGACGGGCAGGTCGCAAGAGGGCGGCGCGCAGGGCAGCAGGTGCGGTACGAGGGTCGCTAGGGGCGGCGTGTGAGCCAGCAGGGCGGTTAGTGGGGCAGTGTTGTGGTGGGCCCAAAAAGAAAATCGGTCCTAACGAAGGACCTGCTCCGAAACCATGTCAAACTAACGAACGAGAATGAATGAACTAAGAAACAGTTGGGTACAAGTACTAACCCTAATTGGGTTGTACCCGTTATGTGGGGCAGCTCTGTGGTGGGCCCTAAAAAAAACGATCATAGGGAAGGACCTGCTCTGAAACCATGTCAGAATACTGAACGAGAATGAATGCATTGAGCAGAAGCTGGGTACAAGTACTAACCCTAATTGGGTTGTACCCCTTATGGGCTACCCCAGTATATCCTACACAAACTAAGCTATATAACGTTTTGACAAGAAGGGCGGCACGTCAGTAGGGTAGGGCGGCAAGGCAGCTAGTGGGGCAGCTCTGTGGTGGGCCCTAAAAAAAATTCGGTCCTAGAGAAGGACCTGCTCTAAAACCATGTCAAACTAACAAACGAGAATGAATAAACTATGAAAGAGTTGGGTACAAGTACTAACCCTAATTGGGTTGTACCCCTTATGGGCTACCCCACTATAGCATACACAAATTAAGCACTATAACATTCTGACTTACCGTATTACCCCGGATAGAAGCGCACCTGCGCTTATAATAAAACATAGTTTTTTAGGGGGCTTTGCTTCTAATTGAGTCATTTTTATAAGCGCATGCGCTTATATAATGACAGATACAGATATATAATTTATAGCATCAAAATGTACATCTCAGACGTACCATTCCAATCGAGGCGAATTTTTTTAGCGCCAGGAATCAGAATCGCGCGCTACCGATTTTTTTCCAACACAGAGGGGCAAAGACACGTCAGTTTGCCCGTATGCCAGCACATCTTCATAAAGAACTAACGAACAAGAATGAATGCATTGAACAGAAGTTGGGTACAAGTACTAACCCTAATTGGGTGTCAAAATAACAAACAAGAATGAATGAACTAGCAAACAGTTGGGTACAAGTACTAACCCTAATTGGGTTGTACCCCTTATGGGCTACCCCACTGCAGCCTACACAAATGTATAAGCTATAATGTTCTGACACACCCCCATAGGCAAAGTGGGGGAGAACAAGTGGTCACAAGACCAGTCAAGAAAAGCAAAGCAAGCTCATGGTGGATCACAAAGTCACCACACAGTCCGAGCACAAGCAAAGGGCCACAAGGCCTGTTCACATGCAGAGTTATATAAATAGAATAAACAATACAGTGATCATACCCTAGCAAGGGCAAGCATGCAGGTATATATATAGATCACAGTACAAGCAGAGTCAAGGAGTAAGCAAGTGAGGCAAAGTAGGCACAAGGCCTAACACAGTAGAATAACGCTGATGATCACCAGGCGGAAGTGCCTTGGTGAATATATCAGCAGTGTTGGCCCGAGTGGCCACGTACGCAAGACGAAGCTGGCCACGCTGTTGCAACTCTCGAGCAAGGAAGTATCACAGAGCGATGTGCTTTGTTATGTGCTCCAGTCTGTGTCAGAATCAGCTAGTTGAACTTAGGAGCCATGGCTAGGGCTCTAGGTGCTAGCTTGAATGTCGAGAGAGTAGAGCAAGGCAAATAGAAGAAAGAGGTGATGTCGATTAGGTGAGGAGGGGGGGTACAAGAGGGTCGAGTAAATCTAGTTGTACCCTCTAGGGATAACCCCTACACAACCTAGAAACATATAAACATATAACTGTTTTGACACACCCCCATAGGTGAAGGAGGGGATAGCCAAACCGAACAGCGGTCACAAGACTGTTAGAATGCTAAGCTGCTACAGCTTTGTCACCCACCACCCACATCCCTTGAGCCTCCCCACCACTTCACACTCCCCCCCACAGCAGCAGGTGCGGCTGTGAGAGAGAGGAGGCAGGTTCGCGCTGGAGGTGCAACCTCCCCCTCACACCCTCCCCTCCCCTCCCCCCGCACCCCAACTGCTGCACGTGCAGCAGGGAGAGGGAGGAGAAAAGGGGGGGAGGGGGGGGGCGGGGTAGGGGCTGCGCATGGGGCTGCAGATGCGCGTGCAGAGGGCAGCAGGGCGTACGTGGCGCACAAGACAACAGGGCACGCAGGACAGCAGAAAGGGCTGTAGCGGCCGCAGTAAGGACTGTAGCGGCAGCAGCAAGGGCTGTAGCGGCAGCAGCAAGGGCTGTAGCGGCAGCAGCAAGGGCTGTAGCGGCAGCAGCAGGGGCTGTAGCAGCAGCAGCAAGGGCTGTAGCGGCAGCAGCAAGGGCTGTAGCGGCAACAGCAAGGGCTGTAGCGGCCGCAGCGAGGGCTGTAGCGGCAGCAGCAAGGGCTGTAGCGGCAGCAGCAGGGGCTGTAGCGGCAGCAGCAAGGGCTGTAGCGGCAGCAGCAAGGGCTGTAGCGGCAACAGCAAGGGCTGTAGCGGCCGCAGCAAGGGCTGAAGCGGCAGCAGCAGGGGCTTTAGCAGCAGCAGCAAGGGCTGAAGCGGCAGCAGCAGGGGCTGTAGCGGCAGCAGCAGGGGCTGTAGCGGCAGCAGGGCGCGCGGGGCGCACAGGGCTGCAGGGCGCGCGGGGCGCACAGGGCAGCGGGGCGCACAGGGCAGCAGGGCAGCAGGGCGCGTGGGGCGCAGCAGGGCTGCAGAGCGCGCGGGGCGTGCAGGGCACGCAGGGCAGCAGGACAGCAAGGCGCGCGGGGCGCGCAGGGCTGCAGGGCGCACGGGGCGCACAGGGCAGCAGGGCAGCAGGGCGCACAGGGCTGCAGGGCAGCAGGGCGCACAGGGCTGCAGGGCAGCAGGGCGCACGGGGCGCGCAGGGCTGCAGGGCGCGCGGGGCGCGCAGGGCAGCAGGACAGCAGGGCGCGCGGGTCGTGCAGGGCTGCAGGGCGCGCGGGGCGCACAGGGCAGCAGGGCAGCAGGGCGCACGGGGCCGCAGGGCAGCAGGGCGCACAGGGCTGCAGGGCAGCAGGGCGCGCGGGGCGCACAGGGCTGCAGGGCGCGCAGGGCAGCAGGACAGCAGGGCGCGCGGGGCGCGCAGGGCTACAGGGCGCGCGGGGCGCACAGGGCAGCAGGGCAGTAGGGCACGCGGGGCGCAGCAGGGCTGCAGAGCGCGCGGGGCGCACAGGGCAGCAGGGCGCACAGGGCTGCAGGGCAGCAGGGCGCGCAGGGCAGCAGGGCACGCGGGGTGCACAGGGCAGCAGGGCGCACAGGGCTGCAGGGCAGCAGGGCGCGCAGGGCGAACAGGGCAGCAGGGCGCACAGGGCTGCAGATCCCCTCCCCCCCACCGCTGCACCCGCAGCAGGGGGATGGAGGAGAAGTGGGGGGGGGGGGGGGGGGAGGGGGCGGGGGGGGGGGTGGGGGGGGGCTGGTGCTGCAGATCCCCTCCTGCCTCCCCCTGAACCTCCAAGCTCCCCCCCTCTCCCAACACAAAGTGCAGCAGGGAGAGAGAGAGGAGAAGGGGGGGCGGGGGGGGGGGGGGGGGCTGATGCTGCAAATCCCCTCCCCCCCACTGCTGCTCCACTATCCGTCACCCCCCAGGGATGAAGGAGAAGGGGGGGACGGGGGGGGTTGGTGCTGCAGATCCCCTCCCCCCCACTGCTGCACCCGCAGCAGGGGGAGGTAGGAGAAGGGGGGGGCGGGGGGGGCTGGTGCTGCAGATCCCCTCCCCCCCACTGCTGCTCCACAATCCTTCACCCCCCAGGGATGGAGGAGAAAGGGGGGGCGGGGGGGGGCTGGTGCTGCAGATCCCCTCCTGCCTCCCCCTGAACCTCCAAGCTCCTCCCCCCTCCCAACACAAGGTGCGGCAGGGAGAGAGAGAGGAGAACGGGGGGCGGGGGGGGGCTGATGCTGCAAATCCCCTCCCCCCCACTGCTGCTCCACTATCCGTCACCCCCCAAAAATGAAGGAGAAAGGGGGGGACGGGGGGGGTTGGTGCTGCAGATCCCCTCCCCCCCACTGCTGCACCCGCAGCAGGGGGAGGTAGGAGAAGGGGGGGGCGGGGGGGGCTGGTGCTGCAGATCCCCTCCCCCCCACTGCTGCTCAACAATCCTTCACCCCCCAAAAATGGAGGAGAAAGGGGGGGCGGGGGGGGCTGCTGCTGCAGATCCCCTCCTGCCTCCCCCTGAACCTCCAAGCTCCTCCCCCCCTCCCAACACAAAATACGGCAGGGAGAGAGAGAGGAGGAGGGGTGGCGGCAGCTGCTGCTGCTGAGGCACATCCGCCACCCCCTCACACCCTCTCCCCCCCGTCCCCATGGAGGGGGGGGAGGGGGGGGAGGGGGGCGGGGGCGGAGCTGCACGTGCGACTGCAGGGCGCGCGGGCAGGAAGAAACCTTGGTTAGGGGCGGCAGGTCGCGAGGGGCCATGGCTAGGGGCGACGGGGCCAAGGGGCCGAGGCGACGCGGCTAGGGTCGACGGGGCCAATGGGGCCGAGGGGCGCGGCTAGGGGCGACGAGGTCGACAGGGCCGAGGGGCGCGGCTAGGGTCGACGGGGCCAATGGGGCCGAGGGGCGCGGCTAGGGGCGACGGGGCCGAGGGGCGCGGCTAGGGTCGACGGGGCCAATGGGGCCGAGGAGCGCGGCTAGGGGCGACGGGGGCGACGGGGCCAACGGGGCCGAGGTGCGCGGCTAGGGGCGACGAGGTCGACGGGGCCAACGAGGCCGAGGGGCGCGGCTAGGGGCGACGGGGCCAACGGGGTCGAGGGGCGCGGCTAGGGGCGACAGGGCCAACGGGGCCGAGTGGCGCGGCTAGGGGCGACGGGGTCGACGGGGCCAATGGGGCCGAGGGGCGCGGCTAGGGGCGACGGGGCCAACGGGGCCGAGTGGCGCGGCTAGGGGCGACTGGGTCGACGGGGCCAACAGGGCCAAGGGGCGCGGCTAGGGGCGACGGGGCCAACGGGGCCGAGGGGCTCCAGCTAGGGGCGACGGGGCCAAGGGGCCGAGCCTAGGGGCTAGGGGCGACGCCAAGGGGCGACGGGCCGGGGCCTAGGCTAGCAGGGCAGTAGGTGGTGGGCCCATGAATGTGAGGTCCTAGGAACGACCTACTCTGATAGCATGTCAAGATAAGCTCATGAACTAAAGAGCCATGGCTAGGGTTCGAGGTACTAGCGTGAGTGTCGAGAGAGTAGAGCAAGGCAAATAGAAGAAAGATGTGATGTCGATTAGGTGAGGAGGGGGGGTACAAGAGTGTCGAGTAAATCTAGTTGTACCCTCTAGGGATAACCCCTACACAACCTAGAAACATATAAACATATAACTGCCTTGACAGTCTGTGCTCCTGACACAAGGCAATCATGGCCTTGTTGTCTACGTACAGAACTGGAGGCGAACGAGGCTGCTCTCCCAAGTCAGACAGCAGGTAGGTGAGTCAGCGTAGCTCCTGTGCAGCCATGGCCCCAGCGTAGATCTCAGCCTCACAACTGGAGCTGAGAACCGAAGACGAGCGGGTAGACCGCCAGGAGATGGAGCCAGAGCCAAGGCTGAAGGTGTAACCATGTGACGACCGCTGCGTAGCTGAGTCGTCAACCCAGGAAGCGTCCGCGTGACCGGTGAGGACAACTGGACCCCGTCCTCCAAGCACGAGCCCCATGCCCGACGTACTGCACAAGTAACGCAGTACCCTCTTCGCAGAATCCCAGTGCACCTTTTGGTGCCTGCCGGGAGCCACGTAGCGAGCCAGGAGGCTGAGAGGGTACGCGAGGTCGGGTCGAGTGCACGTCATCAGGTACATGAGGTAACCCACAAGCTCTGGGGACGGACCACTAGGCTCTACGGACTCATCCGAAGGTGGAGCTGAGAGCAAGTGGCTGGTAGACAGAGGAGTGGGCTGTGGCGAGGAGAACTGGAAGCCGAAGCGCTGAAGGACCTGGTGCACCATGTGTGACTGAGTCAGGGTAATGGTGCGCCGAGCTCTGTCCCGCGTGATCTGCAAGCCAAGATAGCTGCGCAGCTCACCCAGGTCAGTGCAGGTGTGTCTCTTCTGCAGCTCCGACTTCACAAGGGTCAGTGCCTCAGTGTCAGCAGTGGCAAAGACGAGGTCGTCGACGTAAACCAGGACGTAGAACGGCGGCATTGACGTGTCGGTGCGTAGAAACAGCGACGGGTCAGTAGTAGAAGGAGTAAACCCCAGAGCAGCAAGTGTAGTCCTCAGTGTGTTGTGCCACTCACGAGGCGCCTGGCAAAGACCGTAGACTAGCCGCCGGAGGCTCCACTGGGTACCTGTAGGAAACGACCCAGTGCAGCCAGGTGGGCGGCGCAGCCAGATCTCCTCGTGCAGGCTGCCCTGCAGGAAAGCTGTGCTGAAGTCCAGAGAGTGCAACTCGTAGTCACGCTGAGCAGCAACGTACAGCAACACCTGAAGAGTAGTCATCTTCGGGGTGGGGGAGAAGGTCTAGAAGTAGTCGACCCCCTGTCGCAAACTGAAGCCTCTAGCAACATAACGCGCCTTGAAGGCAGGCGGAGAGCCCGGCGGCCGCTTCACTCTGAAAATCGACATGCCATCGACTATGTTCGCTCGAGACGGAGGAACTGCATTGACGTAGGTGCCTGTGGACTTCCAGGATGCCATCTCGGCATCCATGGCTGCCTGCCACTGAGAGGAGTAGGGACCCGTAATCGCCTCTGCGTAAGAGCGCGGGGTCAGGATGTCTGGTGCATCCGGGTCTCCCTCAGGGGCAAGCAGCATGGAAGTGAAACAAGGTACAGCAGCTGCAAGACACTCAAAGTCCTCCTGCCTGTCCTCAAGGACGTCCGTGCCAAGAGCACACTCACCCCCGACGGACTGAGGACTGGCAGACGCAGACTCAGCAACAAGAGTAGAGGCGTAGTCTAGACGACAGGCAGCAGCAAAGTCAAGCAGCTCAGCAACGAGAGCAGACGCAACAACAGACTCAAAGGAAGGGTCAGTGACAGTAGTGGCGAGGAGACGAGAGACAGTGGGACTGGCAGCACGAGCGCGGTTAGACTCCGGGTAAGGGACCTCAGGAAGAGAGGACTCAGGGGGAGCTAGCAGAGGAACACGTAGAGGAACAGAGGAAGGACGAAGGGTCATAGCGTGTGTGCCAGGGACAGGAGGAGGACGCGAACGAGGAACGCGACGAGCAGTGCGAACAGGCGAGACAAGACGAGACGCAAGCTCACGACACTCTGTAAGACCGCCGGACTGCTCAGTGTAAGGAGAAGGAGCAGGCAGTGGAGAGGCCGGCTGTAACGGTGGCTGCGACTGGTCAAGCGGGGGACACAGGAGGGGAGGAGTAAGGGCAGCAGAAGACGGTGTACCAAGAACCTGCTGAAGCAGGGGAGCGAAGTACGGTCGCGGCCATACAACGCCACCAGGGTCAATAGCTCCAGCTCCGCGAGCTCCAGCACCTCCAACACCAGGGCCTCCAACTCCAGTGCCTCCAGCTCCAGCACCTCCAACATCAGGGTCTCCAACTCCAGCGCCTCCTGCGCCAGGGCCACCAACTCCAGCTCCCCCAGCTCCAGCGCCACCAGCGCCAGTAGTACCAGACTCCATAAGGTCTCCAGCTCCAGCACCCTCAACACCACCAGTCCCGGCAGCTCCAGTACCCCGGGTCTGAGCACCTCCAGGACCAGTGGTCGCAGTACCTCCAGGAACACCAGCTCCAACAGCAACTCCAGGGCCTCCAGCTCCAGCAGCGCCAGCACCTCCAGCTCCAGAAGCTCCACTCCGAAGGCGCGTACGCCGAACAAACCACTCACGCAACTGCTGCGGAGACAGTCTCGGCGAAGCACCAGCAGAACCTCCAGGCGAAGCAACACCCTGAGGCTCTGCACCTGCAGACTCCGCACCTTCCGACGCAGCACCCCCAGGCTCAACACCCCCACGCGCACCACCCCCAGTCGCAACACCCCCAGGCTCAGCACCCCCATTCTCAGCACCCTCAGACTCCTAACCCCCAGGCTCCGCACCCCCAGACGCAGCACCCCCAGACGCAGCACCTCGAGCAGCACCTGAGTCGACAGCTACTTGAACAAGCGCAGGACCAGGGAGAGGGTCTACTCAAGACACACCTGAGGGAGCAGGACCCTGGGGCGGGAGGGGGTCTACCGGAGGGGGACCTGGAGCAAGGAAGAGCGGCGGGGGCGGGGGAGGGGCAGAGCGGTAGGGGAAGAGACGGTAAAAGGGAACCGACTCGTCAAACGTGACGTCCTGAGAAGGGAAGACACAACGCGAGGTGGGGTGGTAAAACTGCCAGCCAGGCGCGTCGGGGACAAAGCCAAGGAAGACGCAAGGGATAGCACGGGGGGAGAGCTTGTCCGCTGACGTATCGCGAACAAAGGCACGAGATCCCCAGACCCGGAACAACGACGCATCGCCAACCTGGCCCGTCCAACGCAGTGTGGGCGAGGTCTCCGGCAAGGAGACACGGGGCCAGAGGTTGAGCTGATGCGCAGCATACCGGACCGCAAACGGCCACAGAAAATGGGGAGCAGCCGCATGGATCATGGAGGTACGAGCGACCTCCATGACTAAGCCAATGCGGCGCTCAGCAATCCCATTTTGCTGAGGGGAGTCCGGAAGCGTGAACGACTGGAGAATGCCCTCCCCACGACAAAAGTCCCGCAAGAGGTTGGAGGAGAACTCACCACCTCTGTCAGAGTGCAGACGCAGGACAGGAAGGTCCTGGCCGAACCGCTCGCGGAGCTGGAGACGGACTGTGCGGATCCAAGGGATCAAGACATCAGGGACCTGACCCTTTGCTGCGCAAGGGGAAGACCGTGGTGTACCGCGTGTAGTCGTCAACTACCAGCAGAAAGTAGCGCTCACGGCTCTGTCCACTGACGCGGGCTGGGCCCCACACGTCCATGTGGAGAGTCTGCAGGGGAGCAGTCGTCGAGGGAAACGAGGAGGAGTGAGGAGCGGTGCGCTGCCGCCCCTCGACGCAAGGGAGGCAGGGCGGGGCATGTGAGGGCGGCAGGGGAGGCAGAGACCTGGGGAGACCTGTGGTGCCACAGAAGAGTCTGGTACGACAGGAGGCGACACAAGCAAGAGGCGGCTACCTGACCTGACGCGGACACCTAAGCAGACGCAGCTACCTGAGAAGGCTCGGTAGCGAGTGTGTACAGACTCGACCCTGGCCAATGAGTGAACATGGCCAGGTGACG